TGGGGGAGGCAATGAGGTCAGGGGCCATGGGGTGGATAGGTGGGTGTCTGGGGGAAGCAGCAGGAGCTGGGGGGGGGGAGGGTGGGTGTCTGGGGGAGGCAGCAGGAGCCATGGGATGGATGAGTGGGGGCTGGGGGAGGCAGTGGGGGGGCCACAAGGGTAGTGGGGGTGAGGGGAGGCAGCAGGGTCCAGCAGGGATGGGGGATATGTGGAGGGTCAGGGAAGGCAGTGGGGTCAGGGGCAATGGGTGGGCGTCTGGGGGGAGAAAGCGGGACCAGGGGCCATCGGGTGGAGGGGTGGGGTGCTGGGGGAGGCAGTGGGAGCCAGGGGGGAAAGGTGGGCAGCTGAGGGAGGCAGCGAAGCTAGGGGCAATTGGGGGGCTGTCTGGGGGAGGCAGCAGGAGCCATGGGGTGGATGAGTGGGGGGCTGGGGAGACAGCAGAGCCAGGGGAAATGGGGGGTGGGCAGGCCTGGGGAGGCAGAGGGGAGCCACAGGGGCAATGTGGGGTGAGGGAGGCAGCAGGGGCCATGGGTGGGGTTCTGGGGAGGCAGTGGGAGTCAGGGGAGATAGGGGGTGGGTGGGGAGTCTGTGGGGGGGAGCAGAGGGGCAATAAGGGGGTGAGGGAGGCAGGGTGGGCCAGAGGGCTGGAGGGTCCGGGGTAGGTATCGGGGTTGGGGCAATGAGTGGGGGGCTGGAGGAGGCAGTGGGGGTGCCAAAATACAAATTTGCCCCAGGTGCCATTTTCCCTAAGGCCAACCCTGGCAGGGCTGACCTTAAGGGTGGGCGGTCTTGTATTTTGGTACCCTGGCCCCCACTGCCTTCCCCACCCATTGTCCCTGTGTGCCATGATCAAGGGGGCACCATGGTCAAGAGGCTGTTGCTGGCAGCTGCCTTGGCAGTCACCAGGAAGTTGACCCCTGGCTGTAATGGCGGGGGGGGGGGGGGGGGGGGGGGAGCGGCCCATGTGGCCCCCCCTATCAGCAGTTACCAGTCGCCTAAGTTAAGTGTCAATGTTGACACAAGAAACAATGGATATAAACTGGCCATCAACAAGTTTAAGTTTGAAATTAGACAAAGGTTTCTAACCATCAGAGGAGTGAAGTTCCGGAACAGCCTTCCAAGGGGAACAGTGGCCTTGGCTACACTTAAGAATTCACAGCGCTGCCGCGGCAGCGCTGTGAAGCGCAAGTGTAGTCGCGCCGCCAGCGCTGCGAGAGCTGTCTCGCAGCGCTGCAAGTACTCCACCTCTCCGAGGGGAATAGCTTGCAGCGCTGCGAGCGAGCGTGCAGCGCTGCAGGCACTGGTTACACTAGCGCTTTACAGCGCTGCACTCACTGTGCTCGGGGGGGGGGGGAGGCGTTTTCACACCCCTGAGCGCAGCAAGTTGCAGCCCTGTACAGCGCCAGTGTAGCCAAGGCCAGTGTGTGTGTGTGTGTGTTCGGGGGTGGGGGGGACACAAACTGGCACAAAATAAACACAAACTGGCTTCAAGACTCAGCTTGGTAAGTTTATGGAGGGGATGATATGATGAGATTGCCTACAATGGCATGTGGCCCATCTGCTATTGCTAGTAGCAAAAATCCCAATGGCTGGAGATGGGGCACTAGATGGGGAGGTCTTGGAGTTACTACAAAGAATTCTTTCCCAGTTGTCTGGTGGGTCTTGTCAACATGCTCAGGGTCTAACTGATCGCCATATTTGGGGTCGGGAAGGAATTTTCCTCCAGGTCAGAATGGCCAAGACTGGGAGTTTTTCACCTTCCTCTGCAACATGGGACATGAGTCACTTGCTGGTTTAAACTAATGTAAATGTTGGATTCTCTGTAACTTGAAATCTTTAAATCATGATTTGAGGATTTCAGTAACTCAGCCAGAGGTTAGGTGTCTATGACAGGCATGAGTGGGTGAGGTTCTGTAGCCTGCAACATGCAGGTCAGACTAGATGATCATGATGGTCCCTTCTGGCCTTAAAGTCTATGTGCAGAATTTGACCCACAGGGGCTACCAAATTTCAGCCTGAAACAGGCTTTATTTTGCTTTGCATTTCAAAGCCATGCAGTGAGGACCTCTAAGGGCGATGGCCAGATTACAATCCCTGGAAGGAAATCTAAAATAGTTTTTCCCCTTCCTCTCAAAAGTTGAGTTTTTTTCCTTTTGTCTTTTTCCATAAAATGGGCAACGGGTAACAGTTTTCATCAAGAATCACTATATTTTAACCTTCTTTCCAAATGCTTACAAATATCTTTGGCATTCAACAAGAAAATATTGTGCTACATCAAATGGGAACTATATTTTAGAGGCAGATTGGAGAAACCCATACAAGTAAATTGATAAGAAAAGCAGGTGTGGGCCATTGAGAGGTGTGCGTGGCTGTATTCTCCTGAGATGTGTCTGACACTGGTATGGCTGTTGTACTGTGTTAATTAGATCATTCTAATTAATTCAGTCAAAGTGTAAATTAGGAAGGAATGAAGAAAAATTACCTTTGAAGGCTGCTAATACATTTAACCCCATGCTGTTTATTTAGCAGTCTAACAAAATAATGATGTTAAGAGTCTAACAAGGCACCAGACCAGGACACAGCTGTTAATAGCATTAACTATGAGATTGTAGTCTGTGCTGCAGGCATGTAAGCCTGGTCTGTGTTTTCAAAGGTTTGCCAGTACAGCTATATCAGCAGACCCTGCTAGTGTAGATGTGGTTCACACTGGCAAAAAAAGTCCTGTTTCTGGTGTAGTTCATACCATTGTTCTGGGTGAAATAAGCTAGCAAAAGGACTTTTTTTGCGAGTATGACTGTGTCTGCACTAAAAGTGTATTGCTAAACCAGTTTAGTTAAAATGGTGCAACCTCTGTGAGTGGATGAGGCCTGAGTGAGGATGGCCAACCCCAAATGTTCAAAAATCCAAAGCCCCTTAAAGTCAATGGGAGACTTTCCAATGATTTCAGTGGGCACTGGATCAGGCCCTTGGTTTCAGCTACAGCATCTTTTACAAGACACTGCTTACTCTGCATGAGTTCTGAGAAATTCACATACCCAAACAGGCTTTAAATGTATTTTGTTACATACAGATATGCAATATCTTAATATCTCTGTATCTCTTGTGCCTAATTTCATAATGCAATTTTGTATTTAAAAAACAGAACAAAACTGTGTAACAAATTACCCTTTCATTTGCTCACCACTGCACCATTTTCTATTTCCTTATGCATGCCCCTAGGCTTCCTAGAATTCCTCATGATGTGCTCCTGCTGTGAATTGATTGTGTGCATATCTGTATTCTATGGAGTATTTTGAATCCAGACATGTACATGAAAAAGGAAACGGGTATTATGAATTGGCCTCTGGCCTGTTTATATCATAACTTCAGATGACATTTCTTTCATTGTGAAGAAAGAATGAACTTCCCAAACTGACCTATTCAGAGAGCTTAAAGTCATTTCCATTTTCTTCCTGTAGCTATTAGAGACCATTAAATAAAAACAAACAACAAAAAACTGCCCCCCCCCAATCTCCTTACATATTTTGGTAGCAAGTTTGAAGAACTTTATGACAGTATCAGATTTCTTATCTACTAAAATGTAGTGAGCTGCTCAGTGTCTTTATATAATATTATTGTATGCTTAGATGTTTATTTTTAAAATCAGCCTTCTTGCCAATTAGTTTTTTCCGCTTTGCTAATTAGCAAATAATTAAAGTCAGGCCGAAGTTTGCGCTGCTGAATTACTTTATTGTATAAGCTTTAAGCGATAAAATTAAAAAGGCTTAATGAAAATGCAATCACAACCGAGTGTTTTATCTCAGCAGATAGAAGGAACCCCAGCACTGTAGTTTGCTTTGAATCATGCGCTGCTGGCTATTGGTTGGGAAACACGTGGAGGGGGTGGAGGGAGACGCATTGCTACCGGTAGCAGTAGAAACTGGCCGCTCCCGCTCGCATATATCTCAGACCGAGATCGTGCCGTAGTGTTCCCAGGTTAGCAGCAGATGCTTCAAGCGCAGAGCCTGCTTTTCTTCCAGGGAGGAGGATCCTAGCGGGCTGCAGATGGAGTTGCCCACAGCTGCTTTGTTCTGCTCCCAGCTCACTGAACTAGCTTTATCATCGCACAGATAAGCGTTTAAAGACAAACAGTCCTACCTCGCTTTCCGCTTCCTAAGGCTTCCCACGTGTGATTGATTCACCCTGTTCCCTTGCATTGCATTAGGCCGGGGAATTTCTGCACAAAGTTAAAAAGCTCTATGACATGCCTTATTATTTCTGCAAACATAGGTTAAGCCTTTTTCTATGCAGTCAGGTCTATGATGGGTTTTTCTCAGCGTGGTCTCCCCGTGCACCCTGTAACATATATGAGTCCATCCCATGTAGCTCATCTCTTAAAATACACCTCATAGCACATCTCCTCGGTTACCGTCTGTAGCATTTTGCAGATCGACGCTGTCTCATTCCTTTGGTGCGGAGCCCCGAGCTCTCCGGTGGCGGGCGTGTCCCTGCGGTGTGCCGGGCAATGGAGACTGCCTGCACCGACGCCAGGGCAGAGCTCGGTCCCAGACGCTGGAGGAGCCACCTTTGGCTCCTCGTTGTCTGAGGAGACTGGAGAGGAGCCTGTGTCTAGCAGACCTGTCCAAGGGCGATGAGGGGTGTGGCCCTTGCTAAGTGCACTGGGATCCACCGGGCTGCAGAGGATGTGGGGAGGAAGACGGTGGGCTCGGCTCTGCGCTGGGGACATTGGGCGCACATGTCCTGCGGCTCCTCCTGTGGCTCGGGCTGGGCGAGGTGCCTCATCCATGCCGCGGAGCCTCTTCCCTTTGTGTCCCTCCCCCCGCTGGCCCATGTGACAGCACTGCTTGCAGCCTCCCCGCGGCTCCGTTAACTCGCGTCCTCCCCCGGCCCTCCCCCCGTGTGTCACTCAGCCTCTTTGCATATGTGCCCCCCACCCTCCCGGCCGCAGCCCATATACCCGCTTCCCCGCGCCGCAAATCGCAGCAGCCGGCGAGCGGCCGCCTCCTGCAGCAGCACCGCCTCCGCCTCCACTCCGCGCAAGCGCTCGCCCGGCCCGAGTGCGGCTGCCGGCGGGTCTCCAGTCCCCAGCCTGGGCTAGAGGAGGGAGGCACCGCAGCCCCCGGCGCGGCCCGGCAGGAGAAGGGAGGAAGAGCGAGCTGGAGGCTGCTGGCCGCCGGGAAGGGGCGGGACAGGCTCCCGCAGCCTCTCGCCTGTCGTGAGCGGCGGCCGTGAGGCAGGAGGGAGCCCGGCGCCGCGGCTGTAAGTTCCTGCGCGCGGACCTGTTGCGGGGGGCTGCTGTCCGCAGGCGGGAGGACCGACCGACGGGCGGTGTTCGGGCAGCACTCGGGGAAGGAGGCAGCAGCTCTTCCCTCCCTGCTGCCGGTGCGCTCATGGCAGGACGCGTTTCTGCGTCCCCAGCCCCGGGAAGAGGAGGCTGTGGGAGGAGAGGGCTGCCTCTCTCCCTTCGCAGGGATCGCTCTGACTCTCACCCCAAAGCGAAGCGAGCAGGGCGAGGGACCCGTTGCCACAGACAGCCTTGCGGGTGGCTGAAAAGGTGCCTTGGCAGGGAGCGGAAAACCCTCCGAGCTTAGCAGACTTGGTGCAACTTGTTCCATGCATAGATCAGCTGGCGCTTTGATTGCTTGTATTGCAAAATGAAGCACTCCTGCACTGAGGCTGTTAAGTTGGGAGGTATTTTCATCTCACTGCCAGGGCGCATTTTCAGCTGCCTCATAGCTTTTTTACTACACATATGAACTGAGTTTGTCTATTGATCTCTAATTGAATATTGAACGACTGTGTGGGCTTGATGGTCACATCAGACCACCCAAATGGTAGATTCTCTGCATTAGTAAGCATCCTGTGTTCACTCCTGAAAGCAGGTCCCGCTGTTTGTGCACCATGTGCCCATTGCAACCTTTTGAAGGAAAATGCAACACTGGTGGATAGATATTTGCACTAACCGTTAGACATTTCTGGTATGTGTCTGTCTTTGGCAAATAGAAACACTTGCTTCCCGTAATGCTAGATACTAACCTTAAATATTGACTTCTTGTAGTTTCCTTTTCACATTTTTCAAATGACTGTTTTGGAAAATACACATAAGAAATGTCAGTTGACTTTTTAATAAGTCTGAGTAACCAGAATTAGAATGACCATGGACTTTTACCACTGTCAGAATCAAAGGCAAAACCCATTTCTTCTATTCTTTCTTTTAGGAAGTTTTTCATACACAACCAATACAATGCTCATTTACACAGATAAAACAGAAATCTGTATAAACTAATTAAGTTATTTCTTCTGCAGGTTGGGAAGAAACAGATACTATTTCTGATTTGAAATACTGGGGAGGTGTTCAGATACTACATTGAAGGGGAGCATATAGGCACGTGGGTACATAGGTATGTACTATCACACAGTCATTTTGAAATGGTCTGCATTTGGCAAAATAAAACGACAACAACAAAAACCAGGAACTGTACAAAAAATTAATGCATAATAAGTGATGTCCTGTTTTACACTTCATGTAACTTCTGTGCAATGGGTTATATTGAGGAATGTTAGAAAGGGGTTGGGCATCACTGCAGACTTAGCAACTGAAAAAAGGATCAATTCATACAATGGATAGTTGAGCAACAGTGATTTCCCCCCCCCCCCTCCCCCCAAGTATCTCACTGGAGAAACGATGAGATTATAGTGGTCTAATAAGAAGTTGTACATAATAAATGTGCAAATAACTGAAAACACTTAATTTTTTATTTGACTGAGCTGAGACCTTCAGAATCTAAAGCTGTTAAGAAGGTAGGGCAAGAGGTTGTTGAACATTGTGTACTACCAGATTTGAGGTTGCTGTGACAAGTAGCTTGTTGAAGTACATCATAAATCAATCCCTTGCTTCAATGTCTATTTCATTAGTGATTCATGATAAATATATATTTGTATTTTACTGACCATTTGTCCTTTACATTCAAATGTTATTGTTTCTAAGGAAAAATTCCCTGAAGGGAGTTGACTCATTTTATTCAAGATGAACACGTGCTCAGTGACTCTGTGAATTACCTCTGCTGAAATGTTTGAGGTTTGCATAATTTGAAGCAACAACTAGAGAAATCAAAGATGTCTGTTTCAATAGTTTTATAGCTTTAAATATACTTATTAACATTTTGGCCCAAATTGCATTCTCAACAATCGCAAACCAGACTTATTCACAAAAACACTATTTTGCTAGTAAATTATAAGAAATCTTTTTTTAACGGTACTTTGCCTGTACATATTGACTGTAGAACAACTCAGAAACTGGTGTGGGACTTGAGGGGGAAGATGTACAAATATGTATCTTTGTTCTTTTTGAGGAAATATGTTTAGCTTACTAAAATGTGACTTGCCACACCTTGAATTCTTCTAAATAGAGAGGCAACTTTAGAATGATACAGGTAATGCTTTTGTTACAATTTGCTAAAGAGGAACATTATGAATACTGCAAGTAATTAATAAAAATAGCTTTGGTCACTGAAAGACCAGATCTTGTCTTTTAGGATATTGCTGTGTGCAAAACAGAAATGAGGTGAAACCCTAAACTCCCTATCCCAACAAAGTCTCACAGTGGCTTTTATCATTTTTTTGCAGCTGAGATCAGTATTTCTTTCTAGGGCTGTGGGTGGGCTTGGGCAACATGCAGTGATTTGCACTTTCCTACTTCTGTCCCACCTCTCTGCATATGGTCTGTAGTTCACCATTCTCAAACATGGGGATAACTCTAGTTCCTTACCGGGTAGCTTTTTTATTTTGTGTTCAGGACTTGATCTTGCATGGTTCTGTGCAGCCACAAATCATGAGAACTCACAGCACCACTCTGGATCAGAACACACCTGTATTTGCAGTGTTTGAACTTTTTATTTATTTATTTATTTATTTATTTAATTATTATTTAGTGCTGAGTGCTGTTGGCATGCTTAGTATTGTAGCAGTACACAGCGGGATACATAGTCCCAGATGCAAATAACTCCATCCTGCAGTGAATACCACCAGGAGGGGCGGGGGATCCCTGTGTCTGTTTGGTCCTCCATTGACTTAACTGGGGATGCCCAAGAGTGCCGGGATCTGTCCATGTGTAGCTCGTGTTAGGATGGGCACCTAAGGACCTAATCCTATAAAATGCTAAATGCTGCCTGGGGATGTTGAGTGCCTGCATCTCCCACTGACTTCAGAGACTGGAAGCTGAGGTTGCGCCACACCCCACAGGAGGCACTCAGCCTCTTGCAGGATTGGGCCCTAAATGTGAGACAGACCAATCCAGAAAAACATACAGAATGTTGTGTATTGAATCATAACCAGGGCCGGCTCCAGGGTTTTGGCCGCCCCAAGAAGCCAAAAAAAAAAAAAAAAAAAGTCGCGATTTGCGGCGGCAATTCGGCGGGAGGTCCTTCGCTCCGAGCGGGAGTGAGGGACCATCCGCCGAATTGCCACCGAATACCTGGACGTGCCGCTCCTCTCCGGAGCGGCCGCCCCAAGCACCTGCTTGCCAGGCTGGTGCCTGGAGCCAGCCCTGATCATAACAGCTTGTGAAATTACAAAATCCCTGTAAAGGTTTTGAAATCTGGCTCCACAATGTTTGCCAAATGAGGGTTGATCTTCCCACTTTTGCATCTAAACTGTTGATGAACTAATACCCAGAGCCATGATCCTATGTGTAATTCTGTAGCCACAACAAAGCTGAAATTGAGGCACATGTTCAGTTTAACCTTTTGGCAATAGGGTAAATGGGTAAATTTAGTCCTGGATTAGTGTATGTGACCCTTGAATGTCCTCTGAATGATGATTATTTGTCAGGTAATGCAATTATATTTTATGGGTAATGCAATTATACTTACCATGTAAAAGTAGTTGCATGTATTTTAATAGCATACTTAGCTATAGTTACGGCAGTTAACCTAAAACATTGGTCCAAAGTGCTTTGCACAGCTCATGTTTTCAGTCACAATGAAAAGGGCTTGATCTAAACCTTACTGAAGTAACTGAAAAGATTCCTATAGATTTTAGTTGGCTTTGGATCAGGCCTGATAAAGACAAACACTATGTATTTCCCATGTTGTTCCTTCTTTAAAATCCTGATGATAATCATTAGGAAATTAAGTTCCAACTTAAAAGAAAAAGAGGTGCAGCGTTTTGGTGCATATTTGAGCATGACCATGAAGTGAAAGGCAAATCACAAACTTCCTATTGTCTGTGATATGCCATTTGTGCAGAGCGATGCAATACTGCTGCTTGCTTGGAGCAGAGCACCGGTTATTTGGTATGCAGCAATCCCTGAGCAGGTGTATGAGAAGTCTATAATTTCGCAGACATAAATGTAACATTATTAAATGCTGGGAAAATCAGGTTTTTATTCTGTTGTGTGTTTTAGCCTATGATTTCCAAAAGAGTGAAAGGAATATTGTATATTCCAGAAAATTGATTGCTTGATTTTTAGAGTGACATACAGACTTCTGAGGCTATTCAAATTCTTATGCAGTCTCTTTATCAGAGTGCTGGTCTGAGGGCAATGGGGAAAGGTTTACTCTTAAAAAACATTAACCACGTGGAAATGGAATGATGTATTAATTAGCAGCATAGAAATACATGTTCAGGAATATAAATGGGGAGGGGAATTTCATGGCAATCGGAGAAGCTGAACTCCTTCACCAAACTCCTTCCCCACCACCCTCTACCCAGGCTGTAGAGCACCAGTGAAGCTGTTCCATGATGGCTGCTACTGCAGCCCCTGGTCTGCAGTAACCTCTGTGGATGCTGTGTAGTTTGTCCCATCCCCCCCACTGCCCACCTGTTTAGGAGTGTTTTGGTCAATGGATCTATGTAGATGCAAATCCAGAGCCCATGTCCCTGACATGTCCCCATATCATACATCAGATCAGCTTAATTCAGGGCCAAACACTTGCCTTACTTAACCCAGAAGATTGGCCCATACGAAATACATAAACTTGCAAATGGTTGGAAGAGACCATGGAGGGCAGCTGAATCCTTCCAAGGTCACTTATAACTTGTTTCCCTTAAAATGGGAGCAAAACAGCGCTGGTTTTGAAAGGACAGGGGTAGCAATGTAGAATATTCTTTCCTCCCACCCCCAAACCAACAACTGCAGACTCTTGTTCTCTGAGAGCCTAACTCAGGGGGACTGCAGAATAGCAGTCCTGCATTGATTTCAGCAGATAGTACCCTGCCAAGACTTTAAGCACATACCGTCACCCAGTAGCAGGCGACCACTGGAGATAAACAAGATGTAGATCTCTATAATATTTAGCCATGATATTGTAATAAAGCTTTGGTCATGTAACAATATCCTTGCAATGTTATCTGTCTCTGTCTTATCTTTCCCACTTCCTGCTGTTAGATATGGAACCATTATATCAAAAGAAATCATCAAAATGGAATGAGTACATTCTTGTTCTCCCATGCAGTTTTTTTACATTCCATAAGGTATTCTGTCTGGTAGCTCTTCCTACTATGATTCAAAGCAGGAGAATGTTTCAAGTGTGTTTGAGTGTGGGTATGTGATGAATCAGCTGTGCTACACTGGGGAGGAGTGAGAAAATCAGCTCTAGGTCTTTATTTTTCCTCTGTCTTCCTTGCCTACTATTGTCATGAAAGTTGGAGATCAGGTTTCCCAAGATAAACCTGCTCTTGGGCAATAATAGTGGGGCATGTCATTTAAGAAACTCATCAGGGGAAAAAAATAAACATATACTGAAGTAGATATAATTCTTTGTCCTCTCATGTCTATAATAGGCTCAGAACAGGCTTCCTGCTTCCAATGATTATCAGGGATGCATATAATTTTTTTTTAATTAAAAGAAGTATGTCATAAACATTTGTCATGAGAACCCTTAATCTTATTTAATTTTTGTTTATTTTTAGGTGTGGCAGAAAATGTCAGTCAGCATGCATGAGAATCGCAAGTCTAGAGCCAGCACTGGCTCTATAAATATATACTTATTCCACAAATCATCATATGCTGATAGTGTCCTTACTCACCTGAATCTTCTACGCCAACAACGGCTTTTTACAGATGTACTTCTCCATGCTGGGAACAGGTCATTCCCTTGCCATAGAGCTGTCCTAGCTGCATGTAGTCGCTACTTTGAAGCAATGTTCAGTGGTGGACTTAAAGAGAGCCAGGCTAGTGAAGTCAATTTTCATAATTCTATTCATCCAGAAGTCTTAGAACTTCTGCTGGACTATGCGTACTCCTCCAGGGTTATCATCAATGAAGAGAATGCAGAGTCCCTGCTAGAGGCTGGAGACATGTTAGAATTCCAGGATATCAGAGATGCTTGCGCAGAGTTTCTGGAGAAGAACCTTCATCCCACCAACTGCCTTGGTATGCTGCTGCTGTCAGATGCTCACCAGTGCACCAAGCTTTATGAACTCTCTTGGACGATGTGTCTTAGCAACTTCCAAACTATCAGTAAAAGTGAAGATTTTCTCCAGCTGCCAAAAGACATGGTTGTGCAGCTCCTTTCCAGTGAAGAATTAGAAACTGAAGATGAAAGATTAGTATATGAGTCAGCTATTAACTGGGTTAACTATGATCTGAATAAGCGCCACTGTTATCTCCCTGAACTATTGCAAACTGTGAGACTGGCTCTCTTGCCAGCCATCTACCTTATGGAGAATGTAGCCATGGAAGAACTTATCACTAAGCAAAGGAAAAGCAAAGATATAGTAGAAGAAGCAATAAGATGCAAGCTAAAGATCTTACAGAATGATGGTGTGGTCACCAGTTTGTGTGCCAGACCTCGTAAAACTGGCCATGCACTGTTTCTTCTGGGGGGCCAAACCTTTATGTGTGACAAGCTGTATCTGGTGGACCAAAAGGCAAAAGAGATCATTCCAAAGGCTGACATCCCAAGTCCACGGAAAGAGTTCAGTGCTTGTGCTATTGGCTGCAAAGTGTATATCACTGGAGGCCGGGGATCAGAAAACGGAGTCTCCAAAGATGTTTGGGTGTATGACACTCTTCATGAGGAGTGGTCAAAGGCTGCCCCCATGCTGGTAGCTAGGTTTGGGCATGGTTCTGCTGAACTCAAACACTGTTTGTATGTAGTAGGAGGACACACTGCAGCAACTGGTTGCCTTCCAGCTTCCCCTTCAGTATCCTTAAAGCAAGTAGAACAGTATGACCCTGTGACCAACAAATGGACAATGGTTGCACCACTTCGAGAAGGAGTAAGCAATGCAGCTGTAGTTAGTGCAAAGCTTAAGCTATTTGCTTTTGGTGGCACCAGTGTTAGCCATGACAAGCTGCCCAAAGTTCAATGTTATGATCAATGTGAAAACAGATGGACAGTACCAGCCACCTGCCCCCAGCCCTGGCGCTACACAGCTGCAGCTGTTTTGGGTAACCAGATTTTTATTATGGGTGGAGATACTGAATTCTCAGCATGCTCAGCTTATAAATTCAACAGTGAAACATACCAGTGGACTAAGGTGGGAGATGTGACAGCTAAGCGAATGAGCTGCCATGCAGTAGCATCTGGAAACAAACTGTATGTAGTCGGAGGCTATTTTGGGATTCAAAGATGCAAAACATTGGACTGCTATGATCCCACATTAGATGTATGGAACAGCATAACCACAGTGCCCTATTCACTAATTCCCACAGCATTTGTCAGCACATGGAAACACCTCCCCTCATAACTGTGTATGTTGTGATTGCAACTTGTCAGGTAAGAAGTTATACCTATGAATACAAATATAATAGTACTTAGCACTCACCTTTCTTTACATCCGTAGATCTCAAAGGAGGGTAAGTACATTATTTGTATTTTACAGGAAGGAAAACTGAGGCACACAGCTGTTAAGTGACTTGTCCAAGGTCATGCATCATATTAGTGACCGAGCCAGGAATGGAACCCAGATTGCTTGGCTCCCAGTACCATGCTCTCTTCACCGGATTGATCACTTTGCCTCATAGTTTAGATGTTGAATATGTAATTTCCACTAGGTGTGATGCTGATGGGAAAATATGGTTTAATTATTACAAATTCAGTTATAAATCATTAACCTGCTAGGGATAGGTGATGTTTCCTTAACTACACAGAACTGGTCAATCAACATGAGGACCTAAAAAGACTTCTGTTAACCCTCTAATCATGAGCTGCGGCAGGGTGGTGACTAGTCCAACTGGACAGCGCTCTGTGTGAACAATCTTGCTGCAGCTGCATTGTTACCAGTGGCTATATAAGGTATTGCACAAACAACTGGGCCAAGTCCACCCTCCTGCAACAGCTGAAGTCAATGGAATTGCACCTGCTTATGCCAAGGTTGAATTTGGCCCATTAAATATACTTTTAAAATGCTTGTTTTTCAAAGGAAAGTTGTGTTTATGTTTCTGTCTGTATATCATGTCACTCAGATATACCAGTAATACTGTGGTTCAAATAATTACTTGGCAGTGTTCCAAAGCAAATGCAACCTCATTTATAGTTAGGCATAATGGGCCAAACTCACACCACATGCAACTTCTTACAGGCAAGTCTAAATTTGGCCTTGCTTGTTTTTCTGGTTATGTGGCTCTGCTAAAGAAGGATTTTCTACTTTTTGTTTCTTCTTCATTTGGAAAACCACTAAAATATCTGAGCAGCCCAAAATATGAATGTCAGTTTATATCAGCACCACAAAACAGAGTTAACTTGCTAAGCATTGTCTCAAACTAAATCTGATTTTTCATTATTTTCCCCCATCTTTTCCTGAATGGCATCACTTAAGCTAAGCCTCGGATATTTTCTAGAGTTCTTACGTGAGTTATTTTGCATTAAAACTTACGAATACTGTGCTTCAGTGTGTGTTGCTCAGTTTTTTCTGAGAGACTGCAATGCAGCAGCATGGCTACAAACACATTCCGATGGCATGTTTAACCCTCAGAAGCACCCTATGTTGCCTAAATGAGCCATGCCCTGCGAGTAGTAATTTCTTAAGGGATTTGAATACTGCATAATGCAACCATAAAACCAGCCAGGTTGCAAAAAACTATTGAAGGAAAAACAGTTTAAAATAATTAAATCAGCTCTGCAGTAACTTTTGCAGTAACCTAGAACCTCCAGATCAAAGTAGATACCTCAGAAAGATAATGATACCAGTCTGCTTTTATAGACTTCATAGCATCTTGCTCTTCAGACGGGTCACGTTGACAGGATTTTATTGGCAACTGGACTACAAGGAGATGGCTGGCTGGCTCCTGCAATAAATAGCAGGACACCTGATTGTCCTTGTAACAGGATAAATCTGATAATCTGGGGATCATTGGGGAATTTTTTCACCCAATGGTGTGCTGAGGCCTCATCTTGCCATTTCCCCTTGAGCTGAATTGGAATTTTGACTAAGTAAGGAGTGCATTTTTGGGCCACTGCAGAATAGCAACTCAGAGCTGAAATCTAGTAGGAAATGTAGTGAGGTCATGTTTCCAATGACACTTTGGTCTTTAAGTTGAATAACCACCTGTAACTTTTCCATCTCCCCCCACAACTTAGTCTTAGAAAAACAGAGTCTTGGATTCCATCCAACATTTGCAAACATTGGAGGCTGATTATATCCTGGGTGTCTGAGATTAATCGCACACTTCCGATAACTCAAACTGAGCAAATAGGCTTCTTTGAGACTACTTCCTTGCTAGCCGGAAAGCTGGGAACACATCTTTAAATCCATACCATTCAGCCAGTTTCTATTACTCATTTCAGCAGGGCTCAGTGTTATCAGAACAGTAGTAATGGATGCCCAAACTCAGGATCTGTGCCAAGAAAAATATTGACTTTTATTCTCCTAAGATTGACTTCATTGTTCTAAAATTTACAGCACGTAAAACAGAGGTTGTGTTTTTTTTTTTTTCCCCCCCTGAAAAATAGTAGTCCGAATATAATGGCACTTAAGGCTTTCGTTTGCTTTGCAATATCCTGTTAAAGGCCATTACTTTAGCCTCACTAGCCTGTAAGATAACTGGATGAATGCAACCGTAAACTGAAACCTCTCTAGTGTGGCATGCTCATCCAGCCAGTAGATTTTTACTGACTCCCACTGTTCTGTCAGTGGGTGGGAGGGACAAAAAGGAAATTACTTCTGATTACCCTCTGTTTTCATGGTGTTGTGTGGCCCTAGCCTGCCACAGCTTAGGAAGATTTTAGTCTGCTTTGTTTCTTCCTTCAAACTTTGCTCTTTTGAGTAGCTTTGTTTTATTTTCCCCTTGCAAGATTCAATTTTGTTGGTTTTTTTGGTTAATCATCCCATGACAGGAAACATTATTTTGGCTTCAGTGTTGAGATATACCTTTCAAGAAGGGAAAAGATGACACATTAGTCTGAAGAATGTCTAGGCGACACTAATCAGCAATAAAAAATTACATTGAAAATAATGAAAAGGGTCTGTCTTAAACCCTCAAAGGCAAAGAGATTTCAGGCTAAGGCTGTGAGTATACCCTGCTGTTCTTAGGCGCTGCAGCACTGACAATATAGGGCTACATTCTGCTCTCCTGCACATATGTGTGTTCATTCAGATTAACTGCATTGACTTCAGTAGAGTTACTCTGCATGTGCACCCTAAATTCTAGCTGTGCTGTCTAAAGCTACTGTAAATATGAGGCTGGTGTCTGGTTTGGAAACTTGCACTTAACATAGGCTTCATAATTAAATATGGTAGCCAAATCTCAGCATCCAAAGGCTGTATTTTTCACTGAATAATCAACTCCTGGAAAAGACTCCAGTGTGGAGTTGTTGAGGCATGGTGCATTGTCATGTGAAAAGAAGCGAGACAGATTTCTGCCATAATGAATAGCAGAGAAGTTTTAAATAAGGGGATTAATATGTCCACTTTCTCTATGGTGAATAAATTCAATTTAGAGTTCTCCATGGTGAACAGAGGAGAACCCGCACCCTCCGGCTCCCTCCCAGCTCTTTCTTCAACATCACTCTGATCTAGTTTGACGTGGCCCATGAGTAGAATAAACTGGTTGCCCTAATAATTTGTGAGGCTTTTCTGGAAGAGAGAAGTTGCATGAGGTTGTTGTTTTCATTTTTTTTAAGCATATCCCCATCCCATTTGTTGAGAACAGGAAAAGCCGTGTGTTGTAAAATCCAGCAAAAATAGCACTATCGACCACATGCTATTTAACCTTTTATTTTATAAGGGTCAGATTCACGCGGAAGTACAACTCTACTCCGTGGCTAGTCCCTATTGGAGTCTCTGGGGCTGCTTGCAGTGTAAGGCCAGGCAAGTGAAGGAGGCAGAATCTGACCTAAGTGTTGTGGTTGGTTTATTTACTATCAGTGATTAGTTATTACACAGAGACATGTAAAAGGCTTTTAGTTTTTCTTTGACATCTAATGAAAACCTTATTGTATATTGTCTCACGAGAATCCTCTAAATCTTTTCTTCTCCCCCTCCTTTTTTATTTAGTTTGCTCTGTTATTTGGAGAAGAGACTTGGAATCTCAGCTATGGAGAAATGGTTTTAATGAAGAAAAATCGTTCAGAATCTTTGAGTTTGAAGAAAAATATCTGCACCTTGTAAATTATCTAACCTGGACATGAAGGAATGGGAGGAAAAAACTGTCTTTGGTGCATCAGCACATGGTTTCAATATGAAAGAATGAACCTATGGTCTGATTCCTTGTACTAGTAATTGTGGATTAATGTCAGCATTAATCAGACCTTCAAAGGGAGGGGATGGGGAAAAGGAAAAACAAAAGAAGTACAGAACTTTCCATAGTTGTGCAACCTACAACTCTTGATTTTCATGGACTCCATTGTGTGTGCGTGAAATTTGAAATGGTTGTCACCTCTCACTGTGACAGTTTGAAGCGTCAGCACCAGCTGCCGGGGAAGCAGGCCAGATCTGAAACAGTGAGATGTCGCTGTGAATGAAGATACAGCTGTGTCACTGCAGAGTACTGCTACAGGAATTAACTTGTTTATAGGCAGTGTCTGAAGCATCCATTAGATTACCACATTGTGGTGTCCTATTTGCAGTGAGTGACCTTTCATTGGATAAGGAACAGCACAATTAAAAATATAAATAAAAGATTTTTGCAATAGTGGGGAACTAAAAAGAAATAATTTCCCCCAAATGTTTGATTTCCCTTCCTCCCTGTATTTATAGGTGACTTAAACTGTCCCGTTCCTGTTATGTTACTTGTAGATGTAGCTATTTATTGTTCAGTGCTTGCATGCTGAAACAATGCTTGCAGTTGTCTTCATGTTGTAAGGATTTGTGTGATTTGTTATTTGTTTTGCACATTTTGTGGTCTCTGACTTGCTCTGCTGCACACAAAAAAGAAAACTGTTGAGTAATAGTTGGAGGTGGGAGGGAGTGAGGGGATGGCTTCCTCAGTCGGAAATGGAAGGATTACAAGGCAGGATCTTAAATTACACACATACTAAAGGAAGAAGCCATGGAGGTCACTTTCTCAGGCCACCAACTCCCCAGGTTAGATGTGGTGTATCCTGTAGATAGTGTCCCTGCTCCATTTCATTGGCCTGCTCATGCCTTTGAATTTCGAATCTGGAACTAGCCAAAACCATTTACAGCTTTCTCTTTGTGCAGCCTCTCAGTTACCTAGAAGATGCTGTGGGATGGTTTCTGTGCACAGAGCCCCGAGAAAGGCATTGGCCAAAAAATTTATTTATTTATTTATTTATGAGTTTAGACTATGGGACATTTACCATAACCACATTTACCTGACTGAATGGAGTCTGGCTGACTCACAAAAACAAAATAGATTAGTAGTGAACTAGTTAAAAAACAAAACCAACAACTTGCACTGACAGGATTGGCTCCTCTGTCTGCATAGAAGTGGGATGAATGAGTGCCATGGTGTCAAAGACCCAAAAGGCATGGCACAATTGTTACAACGAAGCATGAAAAATTGCAGAACTAGAACTTAAAAATAATCCTCAAGCTCTGCTGCATCTTTTATCTTCACACAGCCAGATGAGTCTTCAGACATTTTGGTATTGAGAAATGTAAGATATGATCATGATAAACCAAAGGATTAAAAAAAAATGCCCATTTTATTTGCTCAGTCTAGTCTTGAGTCGGGTATGAACCCAATCTTAACTTCATTTCTTTACTTCTGTTTCACAGGTGCTTACTTTGCCAGATTTCATTGTGAAGCACATGTTGTGTTTTTCATAAGTCTGTTGAGCCCAACTTAATAACGATGTGGTCAACTAAGAACGTGGTTGTAGTATTCTGCTGTGGTATAAGTAAAGGATTTTTAGTTGCATGCATGCAAAAAAAAAAAGTAATTCTGTTGATGTTTGCATTTCTCTCGATGATGGTGAAGTCACTGTGCTCTTTAAGCTTACCATCTGAAAACGTTCACAGTGATCACCCTTACATTTTTCTCACAAGGGAAGAATTTTTAAAGGGTGACCCCTGGTTTGATATGAACAGGACTCCACAACTATATCGTAAATGAGTTACAGTTCTAGTTCCACTAGGTTAGGTTGAACTGTTGAAATAATAACAAAGAAATTTAAAAATCAATCCCCTTCTTCTACATGGCTTTAAACAATAGACATGCTTCTTAGGTAGAGCACCTTTCTATAAGCCCAAGTTGCCCCAGTAACGTAAATGGGCTGGATTCTCCACTGCCTTGTATGTGGGGTAGTCATTCACACCTGTGCAATGTGGGTGTAAAATGTTCCCAAATCCAAATAGTCACGTTTTACATCCTCTTCGCACAGGTGTATGTGGTTACACAAGTAACAAGGAAGTGAAGTGTTGTGTCCAATGGGACTACTCATTTGACTAAAGGTATATCTGATCAAGCCCTCTGTTTTCTTCATTGAACGAAGGGATATAGTTCTGTCTTGAAGCTGCACTATACATTGCTATTTAGCGTCTGACAAAAATCTGTTTTATAATACCATGTAACTTCCGAAAGTGGGATGAATTTTCTGCAGCTGTTTTCAAAGTTGTGGTGTGCTTTCAACTGCTTGATTAATTCCTATGTGTAGGCTGAAGGAAACTGAAGTCAGGGTGGGCCTCAGGCCCTGCAGGGAATATTCTGGGCTTCTGCTCTTTGAATTGATGTGGGAATTCTGGCTTACTACTTGACCATTCCAGTCGTGCAAAACATCCCACACTTTGAAGCAAATGCAATTCACAGCAGAGTGCACACAAAAACCTTGGCATAGGACGGGAAGGTTCTTCTTATTTTGTGGGCTGGTTGCTGTAGAAACTTATAACAAAGGACAGCCTTCCACTTCTGGTATAATTGTGTAGACCCTTTTCTCTAGGCCTGACACCTGTCTAATAAGAGTGATTAGAGCTGAATAATGCCCCTTCCCTGAGTATAGAAGATGTGGTTCACATACTAAAAGAAAACTGTACAAGTGAAGAAGGAAAATGTCTATGTTCTGTCTCTGTTTGCTACTATATTTTAAGGTTTTGTAAAACTGCATTTTTTTTTTCACAATGTGAAACTGAAGGTCAATAAATTATTAGAGATTTTCTCTTCAATGAGTAGTTCCTTTGAGGGGTGGGTGGGTTGGTTTGTTTGCAATTTTTTTTTATCCTTGTAACACGCATCTTTTTCATAAAAAGACATCCTTGATATGTAGTTTACTGGTTTGTTTTAAACTTCTGCTTCAGTTGCACTTGGACTGTTCCCTTTGTTCTATTAGGCCACTTTATTATGATCTAGATCTCAGAGTTCAATAGATAAAACTACAAGAGCTTTAAATCAATAACAGGAAATGCAAGCCTTCGTGATTTCTTTTGGCCTTTGAAGTACAGTTTAGGGTCTAATATGAATCTAGAACAAAATTAGACAAGTCAGATCTTCCAGAATAGCTCCTGAGGAAAAAAGGTTGCTGGCTCTGTATAAAGCATTTTAATACATATATCAGGCCTGCACAACATGCGGCCCGCGTGGGCTCACTGTGCGGCCCGCGGGGGGTGAGTAGATGGGCTCACTGTGCAGCCCGCGGGGGGTGAGTAAGCAAGCAGCGGGTGAGGGAGGGGGGCTGAGGAGGCGAGCGGGTGGGCAGTGGCAGGGGGTGAGGAGGCGGGCGGCAGTGGCGGCGG